GTAGTGTTTATATATTTTTTGTCCAACTCCAGTATGTAGTATCACTGCTATTGTCAGGAGCAGGATAATTTATTTGGAGTTGTTCTTTGGTGGTAGATTATGGTAGTAGCAAGAAATGTACAGCCAAATTAAAAAAATGTTTTCTTTTACTATTTTGGGCCAGTTTTCCCTTGATAACAAATTAAAAATCAGGTGATATCAAAAAAAAAGTATAATCCACCTGGATACATAGTACTTGATGATTTGTACGGTTTTACTAACACAAAGTTGCAAAATTGTGTGTAGGCATTTAGATTTGTTTTACTTTTAGGGTTAAATCAGATTGAGATGCTGTGGCATGACCTTAAACAGGCCATTCAAAAACCATCCAATGTGGTTGAATTAAAACAATTCTGCAAAAAAGAGTGGGCCAAAATTCCTCCACAGCGATGTGAAAGATCCATTGCCAGTTATTGCAGATGGTTGACTGCAGTTGTTGCCGCCAAGGGTGGCACAAACAGTTATTAGGTTTAGGGTGCAATTACTTTTTCACATAGGGCCAGCCAGGTTTTGACAGTTTTTTTCTCTAAATAAATGAAATCATCATTTAAAAACTGCATTTTGAATTTACTCGGGTTATCTGTATATGTGTAATATTAAAATTTGTATGAATGACCCCCTTTTGGAAAGTAGATGGCCCAAGGTATAAGAGGCATGGTGAGTTTTCTGTCACACTTTTTTTGAAAATAAAAAAAATAAGTATTTTGTTTTTCACAAAGTCAGTTTAACAAGTTATTTTTCACACACAGCATAGGCATACTTACAATTGCACCCTAAAACACATTCTACTATGCATCCAGAGTAAAGGGATACCACAAGTATGAGACCTTTTCAAAGATACATAGAGGGGCCCAAAATACACCTTTGGGCTTTCAAGGAGTATAATTTAGGCATAAATTACACATCTAATTTTCTGACTACCTATCACATTTTTGGATGCCCTGGAGCTCCAGGACAGCGGAAACACCCACAAAATTAACCCATTTTTGGACAACAAACACTCCAGGGTATTTTCTGAAAGTGTAACTTAGTGAGCCTTTTGAAAATTTTCAAAGGTTTCTGGAAAATGCATAAACAAAATGAAAGTGTATTATTTTTTTTTTTTTTACACAAAGTTGTCAACTAATAAGATCTGTCTAACACACATCATAGGCATACTTAAAATTAAACCCCAAAACACATTCTGCTACTCCTTCCAAGCATAGCTTTTTGAAAGCCTAGCTACACAGAGGGGTCCAAAATCCAAAGAACACCATCAGGTGTTCCAAGAGTACAAATTTCACACCTAATTTCCTGACTACCTATCACATTTTTGGAGGCCCTGGAGCACCAGGACAGTGTAAACTCCCACAAAATGACAACATTTTGGAAAGCAGAGACCCAAATGTATTTTCAAGAGCCATAGTGAATCTTTTGAAGACTTCATTTTTTTGACACAAGATTTTGGAAAATGTGTAATTAAAATGAAAATGAATTTTTTTTTTTTTTACACAAAATTGTCAGTTTAATAGGATTTTTCCTCACATACAGAAAACCACAATTACAAATAATTGGGTCGCTGTGTAACATCTGCATAAAAACTGATTGATTTGCAATTCTCATCAGCCCATATTTTTTATTCACAATGGAAAACATATCAAATGTTTAAACTGAGGAAATGTACCTTTTTAATAAAAAAAAGATCATTTTGAAATTGATAGCAGCAACTCTTCTCAAAAAGTTGGGACAAGGTTATATTTACCATGGTCTAGTATCCTTTCTCCTTTTAACAACACTCTCTAAACGTCTGGAAACTAAGGAGACCAGTTGCTGGAGTTTTGGGAGAAGAAAGTCCCATTCTTGCCTAATATAGGATTCTAACTGCTCAGCAGTCTCTTTTTGTTGTATTTTTTTGTTTCAAGATTCTCCAAATATTTTAAGTTGATGAAAGGTCTGGACTGCAGGCAGGCCAGTTAAGCACCTGGACTCTTCTACTACGATGCAATGATGTTGTCATAGATACAGTATGTAGTTTAGCACGGTCATGCTGAAATATGCAAGGTCTTCCCCTGAAAAAGATGTATGGATGGGAGCATATGCTGCTTTAAAACCTGGATATACAGTATCTTTCAGTATTGATGGGGCTCTTTTCTAAATGTGCAAGCTGCATATTCCATATGCACTAATGCACCCCTATACCATCAAAGATGCAGGCTTTTCAACTGAGCGCTGAAAATCTGAAAGGTCTCTCTCTTCTTTAGACTAGAGGATGCATGGCTACAAAAAGAATGTCACATTTCAATTCGTTTGACCACAGAACAGTTTTCTACTTTGCAGCATACCATTTTAAATGAGCTTTACCCCAGAGAAGTCGGTGGATTTTCTGGATCAGGTTTGGAGATATTCTTTGCATGATAGAGCTTTAACTTGCATAGCACAAATATTATGTTCACAGACATTGATTTCTGGAAGTATCCCTGAGCCCATGAAGTGATGCCCATCACTGAATCATGCCTGTTTTTAATGCAGTGCCATCTGAGGGCCTGAATATCACGGGTATTTAATGTTGCGTTTCGGCCTTGTACACGGAGATTTCTCCAGATTCTTGGAATCTTTTTATTATGTTATGTGCTGTAGATGATCATATACATTTTCTAAGTCTTTCCAGTTTTACATTGAGGAACATTATTCTGAAATTGCTTGACAATTTTTAGAAGCAGCATTTTACAGATTGGTGAACCTCTGCTCATCTTTACTTCTGAGACACTCTTGACTCTCTAAGATGCTCTTTTTATACCCAGTCATGTTACTGACCTGTTGAAACTTTACCAAAGTAGTTGCAAAATGTTCTTCCAGCTCTTGCTTCTTATTACCACTTGCTTTCCCAGCTTTTTGTTGTCCTGTCCCAACTTTTCTGAGACGTGCTGTTGCCATCAGTTTCATAACTACCTTATTTTTTTCTCAAAATGGTATATTTTCTCAGTTTAAACATATAATATATTTTCTATTATGAATAAAATATGGGTTTATGAGATTTGCAAATAATTGCATTCTGTTTGTATGTAGATTTTGCACATCCCCCCAACGTTTGTGGAACTGGGGTTATAGAACTACACCTCAAAACACATTCTGCTACTCCTCCTAAGTGGTGATACCACACATGTGGGACTTTTTCACTTTTTGGACTGATTATACAATGGACATTGTATCTTGTGCATCACACAAACAAGTTCATCGTATCAAAACCAATGTACTGTAATGGTCAGCTCTTAACTGAGTGGTTAGGGAATATAGCTTATTGTAGCGTCACCTGTAGTAGTCCCCGTTCCTATAAGCCAAGCAACCTTAGCCTACAAAGGCAAAAGAAGAAAGAACAAAAGAGTTCATGTGGGGTGCAGCTGTCCATAACGGACGACTGGGACTTGTGTCTCAGAAGAATGTAGTCAGTCAGATGTGCAGATGGGTCAGCAAACAGGCAAAGCATTGGTCCAGGCAACAGGCAGAAATATGGTTAATAAACAGGCCAGGGTTATGTGGAAAATGTGGAAAGCCATTTATAATTTTCCTTCACTTCACAATTATGTGCCACTTTGTGTTGGTCGATTACATAAAATCCCAACAAAATACATTTCAATTGTTTGGTTGTAACATGACACAATGTAGAAATTGTCAAGGGGTATGAATACTTTTTCAAGGCACTGTACATTACATTTTTAAATGTGTAAGTTTCTATAATGATGCTGCATGTGTATATATAGTGTGTTTGTATGTGTGTGTGTGTATAGGCACACACACAGGAGCTGAAACAGACATGAGAGCCCTTGCTGCTGTCTGCATATGAAAATACACTATATTTCCAAAAGTATTGGGACACCTTTCCAAATCATTGGATTCAGGTGTTCCAATCACCTCCATGGCCATAGATGTATAAAAAATCAAGCACCTAGACATGCAGACTGCTTCTACAAACATTTGTGAAAGAATGGGTCTCTCTCAGGAGCTCAGTGAATTCAAATGTGGTACCGTGATAGCTTGCCACCTATGCAATAATCCATCCGTGAAATTTCCTTGCTACTAAATATTCCACAGTCAACTGTTAGTGGTATTATAACAAAGTGGAAGCAACTGGGAACAACAGCAACTCAGCCACGTAAAATGACAGAGCGGGGTCAGCACATGATGAAGCGCACAGTGCGCAGAAGTTGCCAACTATCTGCAGAGTCAATAGCCAAAGACCTCCAAACTTTGTGTGCCCTTCAGATTAGCACAGCAACAGGGCGTAGAAAGCTTCATGGAATAGGTTTCCATGGCCAAGCAGCTGCATCCAAGCCTTACATCACTAAATGCAATGCAAAGCGTCAGATGCAGTGGTGTAGAGCACGCTGCCACTGGACTCTGGAGCTGCAGAGACCTGTTCTCTGAAGTGACAAATCGCGCTTCTAGGTCTGGCAATCCAATGGACATGTCTGGGTTTGGCGGTTGCCAGGACAATGGTACTTTCTGTACTGCATTGTTCAAGTGTAAAGTTTGGTGGAGGGGGAACTATGGTGTGGGTTGTTTTTCAGGGGTTGGGCTTGGCCCCTTTAAGCTCCAGTGAAGAGAACTCTTAAGGCATTCGCATACTAACACATTCTGGACAATTTCATGCTCCCACCTTTGTGGGAACAGTTTGGGGATGGCCACTTCCTTTTCCGACATGACTGCACATCAGTGCATAAAGCAAAGTCCATAAAGACATGGATGCGCGAGTTTGGGGTTGAGGAACTTGACTGGCCTACACAGAGTCCTGACCTCAACCCGATAGAACACGTTTGGGATGAATTAGAGCAGAGACTGCAAGCCAGGCCTTCTTGGCCGACATCAGTGCCTGGCCTCACAAATGCACTTCTGGAAGAATGGTCAAACATTCCCATAGACACACTCCTAAACCTTGTGGACAGCCTTCCCAGAAGAGTTGAAGCTGTTATAGCTGCAAAGGGTGG